GAGAAAGAAGAATGCCTATGAGGATTTGTTTGGAGACCCTATTCGCTGTAGTTTTATTGATTTTAGGGAAACTGACCCATTGGCAGATAATGAGATTTATTATGATGATGTTTATAATAATTTGAATATTCCAAAGGATAAGGCATTTTTTAGGCATTATCTTAAAGTACCTAAGTTGTCACCGGTTGATGTTGAGAACTATGACTATGTTGAAGAAGATGGTAAGTATCTTTTGTATTATGGCGAGAATGTAAGATATAAATATGATTTAGAAAAGATTTATAGTGATGAGTTGGCAGAGTTTCATTGTGATAATGGATTTTTGAATTATGATGATGTCCAAAAGTTTTTCAAGAGAGTTCGCCAGCAACTTAAATATTATTATGGTATTGACTATGTAAGATATTTTTGCTGCGGAGAGTATTCTCCAGCACCTCACTACACGCCTGATGGTCGTTTAACTGAGGGATTTCTCCCTCACTATCATTTATTGATTTGGTTTAAGCACTCGCTTAAATCACAATATGGTTGGATTAAACCAGTTCCTAAGAGAAATAAGAATCGATTAAGTGAATATCTCCCGCTTGTTACTTTATTACCCGATGGTCGTGCTCATGTTCCACCGTTGTCCGTTGCAGTTTTTCAAGATTTTTTGTTTCGTGGTTGGAATTTAAGTGATAGAAAAGCGTTTGTATGTTCTCCAGTCCGTTCCATTGTTGGTTGTACTCGTTATATTTCAAAGTATATTCTTAAAGCGGTTAATGCTGAGCATTATAAGGATGATGTTCAAGCCTTGCGTCCTTTCCATCGTTGGATGTCGCAAGGCATTGCTAAGGGTTATGCTGAACATATTGCACCTCAAATATGTACTAACTTTAGTTTTGGTTTTCAAGATGGTCAGTATTTCCGTTTTTATCCTTCTATATTCCTTAAATGGTCATATTCTCACGATATTGATATTCAGAAGAATGATTATCTAAAGTGGTATGATAATGAAAAGTATTTTATCATGCTACGTAATCGTGAGAAATATATTTCCGAAATGGAAGAACCTACTCTACGCGATGTAGAGGATAAATGTATTAAGGTCCGAAATATGCTTGAAACTTTGTCTGCTGATGCTTTCTAATTAGGAGCGATAGCGACAAAGCGTTAGCGTCTCATGGTGATGGGTCTGGGCGCGACCCGAGCGCACCACAAAAGGTAACCGAAATCGCGCGCGCGTGCGCGCGTTACGTGCGTACGTGCGTGCGTGAGTGTTCTGACTGGTTGCGCGAAGTCATGCGCGCCCAGTCCCCTTAAATTATTCACTTTTGTTTTCCATTATTGTAATATTATAAATAATATTAATCTTTATTTTAAGAAAGTGGTGTCTTTCTTGTCAGTTTCTTTGCGTTTTGTGCGCTCGCTCGGCAGAGCGAATTCCCTTGACTACTTATAGCGCACTGACACATGATTTCTCATGAGTGATTTTCTTCGTGTTCATTGAAAAAATCCGTTGTCAGTTTTCTAATATCAAAAACATTTATTATCTTTGTGCGACAAATTCTAAAATCTTCTATATATTATGAAACTAAATGATTTTTATTAACATGTTGGCAGACCTTGCTTATTCTATTCTTGTTATTTGTTCCTTTGTTTTTATTGTTTGGCTAGTAATTGCTTTTATCTTATTCATGATTAAATAATGTCATTTTAAGTTTAAAAATGCCCCTCTTGTGTTAAATTCATAAAAATATTTTCATATCCGGATTATTTGTCAAAATTATCCGCTATATTTGCAACCGTAATTTTAATTTTATCTGCATATGTTTATAACTTATTCTGTATTCTCCCAAATGCGTGAATGTCTTGACATTTGGTTTTATGCCGATGATTGCTTTATGTGTATGTATGTTGATTTTTTCTTTGATGTATATTTTCAGCATTTATTTCATAGTTCACTATTTCTATGAATTTACTTTTTTAATTTGCGCGACTAAATATTATAAGTTATGAAAAAGAAGTTTAACTATTATGCCTTGCTTTATATGGGAGACCCTTGTACTGCACACTTTGTTAAGTGTTTTATTCCTTATCCGTCACTTAACCGAATTTTTCTCGTTTGTAATTCCGCTCTTAGTACCTTGTTTGCTATTGGTGAGACTGGATTTTTGAAAGTCTATCGTGATAAGGAGTTCATTGGCACTTACTCCTATAATGAGGATTCCAACACATTTACATTTATTTCTAATAATATATTTCCTAACTCATCTAATTATCTTAAACAAATCTTAAAGAAAAATGAAAGAACGAAATCGCAAATTTATTTCGGCAATACTTAAGTTATTGCTTTGTGTGTTCACTGGTGGTGTTACCGCCTACACTGTTTCTTCGTGTACTGTTAATAGTGGTAATCGTGAGAATCACGAAAGTCCTATTGGTTATCCTGAGCGCATGTATTTTCCGCGTACAGATTATTTTCCCCGGTTGAAAACCGACACCGTTAAGGTTATCAAGGAATCTAACACAATTTATACTAACGATTAATTATGGAAAAAGAAATTGATTTTATCGAACCTCTCACAGAACGTGAGAAATTTGAGATTAACGAAAGAATGCTCTAAGAATAATGTTGAGATTGCTAAACTCCAGTTGGAGAACGCTCGCGTTCAGTTGGAAATTGTAAATAAACAATTTGATATATCGAATTTGCACTCTCGTAAAAAATCTTTTTTTAACTTGTTCTAACCTAATGGTAAACGAAACTAATGTACATCAAAAGAGAGTTAATTCTTTCCAGCGTGGCGGAGATGTCCTTGCTGGTTCTCGCGTTGACAATGATGTGACGATTGGCGCTGGTGAACTTACTCGCCATTCTAAGTCACACAATGTAAAGGGTTCTGCGCGTCTTGGTCAACTTATGCCAGTCGACATTATGCAAGTTCTCCCAAATGAGAATTTTCGTGTCCGTATGTCTAATACGGTGCAGTTTGAACCGCTTAACAAACCGATTCTCGATAACCTTTTAACTAAGTTGCATACTTTCAATGTATCTTATAAGCAGATTTTTGGTGATGCTTTCGAGATGTTCTATAAAGGTGGTAAGACTGGCAGTTATCGTAAGGAATTACCTTATTTCAATGTAGATAATTTTAAGACTGGAGCTCTTGACCGCACTGGTGCTGGTGTTAATACTAAGATTCTTTACTCCATTGCTTTTCTCTCTTGGTCATTTGCTCATAACATGAAGTTTATGGACGTTGTTCGCTGGTGTTCCGTACCAAATCCTTCTTCTGTTGGTAACTATCTCTTTAATCCCGAGCGCTTGAAAATTGTTCTTGAAACTGCATTTGGCAAGGGCTCTCTTCTTGATATGTTTAATTGTGGTGTTGGTCGGTTTGACTGGAATGTAGATGGTAGTGATTTTACTCGCTATGGTTCATACTCTATCCTAATGCTATTCCAGTTGATAGACTTCTCGCCTATCCTGTTAATCGTATCTAAATATTATCGTGTTGACGACTATTCGTTCGATTATTTTAACGATGCGGAGAATCTTGGTGAGGAGTTGGTTAATATGGATTATGATATTAACACTTCAACTAAGGTTGGTCTTATTCATCAGCACTCCGTGTTTGATGAGGAGATTCACTATGGCGCTATTTTCCGTAATCTTGATAAGATAAGTACTCATGCGGAGAATAATAGTGATTTTATAGATCGTGGCGCTGATTGTCATTTTACTTTGCGTGGTAATCTTTCAGTTTTTGGTACTTTTCAGCCTACTCTTTCTGCATCTGCTGATTGGGAATTGTATTTCTCTCGCGGTGCTATCATGCTTGCTTGGTTGCTTGCTATGCATCCTGTTCCAGTTGAAAAGGATTATCTCTCTATGATTCTTCCACGTACTCAGCGCGGAATTGTTGAGAGCATTGGAAATTTACCTTTATCTTATAGTAATGTTGGAGATATACTTCTAACTGCTCTTGATTCTTCAGGTAGTCCTGTCTTTTTATCCTCTTCTTCTTCTTATTTACAGGGTTCAACTGCCACGGATTCTAACCCTAATAGGCTTTTGCATGTTACCTTGATATGGATACTATTCGCTATGTCAATGCAGCTACTAAACTTGCTGAGAAGATGAACCTAGTAGGTAGTGACTATGGAGAGCAGTTGCTTGCAGAGTTTGGCATTAAAACCAAGTTATGCAAATATGGATAAAACCTATTTATCTTGGTGGTCTTAAGACTACTCCACGAATTGATAAGGTAACTTCTACTTCCGACACTTCTAAATCTTCTTCGACTGAAGGTAAGGAACTCGGTGTTTATTGCGGAGACGCTACCCAGTTTGCAGACGGTAACTACTCGTTTGTTGCTGGTGACTTTGGTCTTGTAATTACTATTATGTCAACCGTTCCTGAACAGAGTTACTCTCGCTTTGTTGATAGAAATGCCTTTAACTTCTTCGACCGCTTTAATTGGTTCCATAAGGAGTTTGAGGACCTTACTGAACAACATCTCTATGCTCAGGAGTTCAAGGGTAACGATACTTTGAAACTTGCTAATATGTGCGCTGGACGTGTTGCCCCTACTGAAAGTGACGTTGTAGGTTATGTACCTCGCGAGCAGCATCTGCGCTCTATTCCTAATACCGTTCATGGTGAACTTATCCCAAGTCTTGGCGGGCGAAGATGATATTGTTTGGACTATGGCGCGTGACTTTAACGGTGTTAATGAGTTCACAAAGAATGACATTCTTTATAATTCGGTTGATGCTCCTGAGACTCACGTATCTTTACTTTCACTAATATCGTTGAGTATCCTCCTATGAAGTTTGAGTGCGGTTTTGGTGTTGATGTTCTTTCTCCAGTTGGTAGAATCACTATGCCTATTACTATTTAATTGTTATTGCTATGAATCCTAATTATAAGAAAGTCATTTTTTCTAAGTCAGCCCCTTGGTGATGCTCCTCAGATTGAAACCCCGGTTTGTGTTGTAGATTGCAATGCTACCACAATGTCTATGGCAAGTGGCGGTCAGTTTGTTAAGCGCGATAAGATTCATTTGGATAAGAATGCTAAAGGTGAAAGTTTCAGCACTCTTATTCCTCCTCGTGATGTCTTTGACGCTGACCGTGGTTTGCGCGGATTGTCTGCTTATCTACGTGAGCAGATTAATAGTGTTGGTACGGTTGAGAATAATGAGACTACTCCAGTGTTGAAAAGACAACTCCAGTTGCTCAGTCCGAATCTCTTCCGCTTGATGTTTAACTTTAACGGGGGTCTTTGTACCCCCACTTTTGCTTTATGATTGGTTACTATTGCTACTTTTAGGCGCTGCTGCTGCTGGAACTGCTGCAAGTGCCATTTCACAAAATAAGACTAATAAGCAGAATGAGAAGATTGCTAGTCAGCAGAATGCTTTTAATAAGCCAAATGTATGAGCAGCAATTAAAGGATGCTAAGGACTGGTATAATGAGTTCGAAAGTCCTATGGCTCTTCGTAGGCAATGGCAAGCAGCTGGTTTTTCTCCTATGGCTGCTTTAAATGGTGGTAATACTGGTAGTGGTATGCAGAGTGTTGGTTCTGCTGATGCTGCATCTTATGAATATCAGTCTCCTTTAAGTGGTGTTGGTGGTAATATGATGCAAGCGGTTGCAGCTGCTAATAATTATCTTTCTACCCAAGTTCAAAGAGAGAAATCTCTTGCAGAGATTGAAGCACAGAAGATTCAAAATCAGCGTGACCAAATTGCTTTAGGTTATGAGCGTGACAATTATGTTAAGGATAAACTTGATTCCCGTCTTTCTCTTTCTAAGGGATTTGACCATGGTGCTGCTGCTAGTATGGATAATTATATTGCTAATGGCCCTTATGAGCGTGCCTTTAAGTTGTATGATTCTTATATGTCCCAGCGTAAGTCTGCTGAACTACGATTGGAAAATGCACGTGCAAAGAATACTACTACTGACACTGAGGTTAAAGGAACTTGAAAAGCAGTTAAAGTCTATTGATATTCGATGGCAGCCTTTGCTTAATCGTGCAAGTATTGGTCTTACTAATTCCCAGCGTGCTACTCTTGATAAGATGAGACCTATTCAGTATCTTAATGAAAAAAATAAGTATTCTCTTGGACAACTTGATATTTCGAATTATAGCAATAATCATGCTCGTGACTTTGGACTTTCTTCAGGTTCTAATAATCTTGTTGATTATTTCATAAAATTACTTGGTATTAAATGGTAATTAGCAATTTGTTTCATTGAATCCCTAATCACATAATTTTTAATGTGTTACTCTCCTATTCTTAAACATATTTCTAAAAATTCTTGTGAGGTAGTTAAACAATTACCTCACAATTCTATTTTAATTCGTAGAAGAAATGAAACTCTTGTCAAGTGTCTAAAGGACTTAACTGGACAAGCGAATTATATCTTCATACTGCAAGGAAAATCTATGTAGATGATTTGACTAAACCTAATGACTATTTTATTGAGTTGCCTGTGGTAGGTGTGCCGATTGTTTAAATCGTATTGTTAATAAGTGGTCTTTCCGTCTTGCTAAGGAATTGGAGTTTGAACAAGTACAGGCTTTTTTTGTTACATTAACGTATGACCCTACAAAGCGTTGTACTAATATTTGTATTGTTGATAAGAGAACTGGAGAGATTAAGAGAAAGAAGAATGCCTATGAGGATTTGTTTGGAGACCCTATTCGCTGTAGTTTTATTGATTTTAGGGAAACTGACCCATTGGCAGATAATGAGATTTATTATGATGATGTTTATAATAATTTGAATATTCCAAAGGATAAGGCATTTTTTAGGCATTATCTTAAAGTACCTAAGTTGTCACCGGTTGATGTTGAGAACTATGACTATGTTGAAGAAGATGGTAAGTATCTTTTGTATTATGGCGAGAATGTAAGATATAAATATGATTTAGAAAAGATTTATAGTGATGAGTTGGCAGAGTTTCATTGTGATAATGGATTTTTGAATTATGATGATGTCCAAAAGTTTTTCAAGAGAGTTCGCCAGCAACTTAAATATTATTATGGTATTGACTATGTAAGATATTTTTTGCTGCGGAGAGTATTCTCCAGCACCTCACTACACGCCTGATGGTCGTTTAACTGAGGGATTTCTCCCTCACTATCATTTATTGATTTGGTTTAAGCACTCGCTTAAATCACAATATGGTTGGATTAAACCAGTTCCTAAGAGAAATAAGAATCGATAAGTGAATATCTCCCGCTTGTTACTTTATTACCCGATGGTCGTGCTCATGTTCCACCGTTGTCCGTTGCAGTTTTTCAAGATTTTTGTTTCGTGGTTGGAATTTAAGTGATAGAAAAGCGTTTGTATGTTCTCCAGTCCGTTCCATTGTTGGTTGTACTCGTTATATTTCAAAGTATATTCTTAAAGCGGTTAATGCTGAGCATTTAAGGATGATGTTCAAGGCCTTGCGTCCTTTCCATCGTTGGATGTCGCAAGGCATTGCTAAGGGTTATGCTGAACATATTGCACCTCAAATATGTACTAACTTTAGTTTTGGTTTTCAAGATGGTCAGTATTTCCGTTTTTATCCTTCTATATTCCTTAAATGGTCATATTCTCACGATATTGATATTCAGAAGAATGATTATCTAAGAGGTGGTATGATAATGAAAAGTATTTTATCATGCTACGTAATCGTGAGAAATATATTTCCGAAATGGAAGAACCTACTCTACGCGATGTAGAGGATAAATGTATTAAGGTCCGAAATATGCTTGAAACTTTGTCTGCTGATGCTTTCTAATTAGGAGCGATAGCGACAAAGCGTTAGCGTCTCATGGTGATGGGTCCTGGGCGCGACCCGAGCGCACCACAAAAGGTAACCGAATCGCGCGCGCGTGCGCGCGTTACGTGCGTACGTGCGTGCGTGAGTGTTCTGACTGGTTGCGCGAAGTCATGCGCGCCCAGTCCCCTTAAATTATTCACTTTTGTTTTCCATTATTGTAATATTATAAATAATATTAATCTTTATTTTAAGAAAGTTGGTGACTTTCTTGTCAGTTTCTTTGCGTTTTTGTGCGCTCGCTCGGCAGAGCGAATTCCCTTGACTACTTATAGCGCACTGACACATGATTTCTCATGAGTGATTTTCTTCGTGTTCATTGAAAAAAATCCGTTGTCAGTTTTCTAATATCAAAAACATTTATTATCTTTGTGCGACAAATTCTAAAATCTTCTATATATTATGAAACTAAATGATTTTATTAACATGTGGCAGACCTTGCTTATTCTATTCTTGTTATTTGTTCCTTTGTTTTTATTGTTTGGCTAGTAATTGCTTTTATCTTATTCATGATTAAATAATGTCATTTTAAGTTAAAATGCCCCTCTTGTGTTAAATTCATAAAAATATTTTTCATATCCCGGATTATTTGTCAAAATTATCCGCTATATTTGCAACCGTAATTTTAATTTTATCTGCATATGTTTATAACTTATTCTGTATTCTCCCAAATGCGTGAATGTCTTGACATTTGGTTTTATGCCGATGATTGCTTTATGTGTATGTATGTTGATTTTTTCTTTGATGTATATTTTCAGCATTTATTTCATAGTTCACTATTTCTATGAATTTACTTTTTTAATTTGCGCGACTAAATATTATAAGTTATGAAAAAGAAGTTTAACTATTATGCCATGCTTTATATGGGAGACCCTTGTACTGCACACTTTGTTAAGTGTTTTATTCCTTATCCGTCACTTAACCGAATTTTTCTCGTTTGTAATTCCGCTCTTAGTACCTTGTTTGCTATTGGTGAGACTGGATTTTTGAAAGTCTATCGTGATAAGGAGTTCATTGGCACTTACTCCTATAATGAGGATTCCAACACATTTACATTTATTTCTAATAATATATTTCCTAACTCATCTAATTATCTTAAACAAATCTTAAAGAAAATTGAAAGAACGAAATCGCAAATTTATTTCGGCAATACTTAAGTTATTGCTTTGTGTGTTCACTGGTGGTGTTACCGCCTACACTGTTTCTTCGTGTACTGTTAATAGTGGTAATCGTGAGAATCACGAAAGTCCTATTGGTTATCCTGAGCGCATGTATTTTCCGCGTACAGATTATTTTCCCCGGTTGAAAACCGACACCGTTAAGGTTATCAAGGAATCTAACACAATTTATACTAACGATTAATTATGGAAAAAGAAATTGATTTTATCGAACCTCTCACAGAACGTGAGAAATTTTGAGATTAACGAAAGAATCTCTAAGAATAATGTTGAGATTGCTAAACTCCAGTTGGAGAACGCTCGCGTTCAGTTGGAAATTGTAAATAAACAATTTGATATATCGAATTTGCACTCTCGTAAAAAATCTTTTTTAACTTGTTCTAACCTATGGTAAACGAAACTAATGTACATCAAAAGAGAGTTAATTCTTTCCAGCGTGGCGGAGATGTCCTTGCTGGTTCTCGCGTTGACAATGATGTGACGATTGGCGCTGGTGAACTTACTCGCCATTCTAAGTCACACAATGTAAAGGGTTCTGCGCGTCTTGGTCAACTTATGCCAGTCGACATTATGCAAGTTCTCCCAAATGAGAATTTTCGTGTCCGTATGTCTAATACGGTGCAGTTTTGAACCGCTTAACAAACCGATTCTCGATAACCTTTTAACTAAGTTGCATACTTTCAATGTATCTTATAAGCAGATTTTTGGTGATGCTTTCGAGATGTTCTATAAGGTGGTAAGACTGGCAGTTATCGTAAGGAATTACCTTATTTCAATGTAGATAAATTTTAAGACTGGAGCTCTTGACCGCACTGGTGCTGGTGTTAATACTAAGATTCTTTACTCCATTGCTTTTCTCTCTTGGTCATTTGCTCATAACATGAAGTTTATGGACGTTGTTCGCTGGTGTTCCGTACCCAAATCCTTCTTCTGTTGGTAACTATCTCTTTAATCCCGAGCGCTTGAAAATTGTTCTTGAAACTGCATTTTGGCAAGGGCTCTCTTCTTGATATGTTTAATTGTGGTGTTGGTCGGTTTGACTGGAATGTAGATGGTAGTGATTTTACTCGCTATGGTTCATACTCTATCCCTAATGCTATTCCAGTTGATAGACTTCTCGCCTATCAGTTAATCGTATCTAAATATTATCGTGTTGACGACTATTCGTTCGATTATTTTAACGATGCGGAGAATCTTGGTGAGGAGTTGGTTAATATGGATTATGATATTAACACTTCAACTAAGGTTGGTCCTTATTCATCAGCACTCCGTGTTTGATGAGGAGATTCACTATGGCGCTATTTTCCGTAATCTTGATAAGATAAGTACTCATGCGGAGAATAATAGTGATTTTATAGATCGTGGCGCTGATTGTCATTTTACTTTGCGTGGTAATCTTTCAGTTTTTGGTACTTTTCAGCCTACTCTTTCTGCATCTGCTGATTGGGAATTGTATTTCTCCTCGCGTGCTATCATGCTTGCTTGGTTGCTTGCTATGCATCCTGTTCCAGTTGAAAAGGATTATCTCTCTATGAATCTTCCACGTACTCAGCGCGGAATTGTTGAGAGCATTGGAAATTTACCTTTATCTTATAGTAATGTTGGAGATATACTTCTAACTGCTCTTGATTCTTCAGGTAGTCCTGTCTTTTTATCCTCTTCTTCTTCTTATTTACAGGGTTCAACTGCCACGGATTCTAACCCTAATAGGCTTTTGCATGTTAACCTTGATATGGATACTATTCGCTATGTCAATGCAGCTACTAAACTTGCTGAGAAGATGAAACTAGTAGGTAGTGACTATGGAGAGCAGTTGCTTGCAGAGTTTGGCATTAAACCAAGTTATGCAATATGGATAAACCTATTTATCTTGGTGGTCTTAAGACTACTCCACGAATTGATAAGGTAACTTCTACTTCCGACACTTCTAAATCTTCTTCGGACTGAAGGTAAGGAACTCGGTGTTTATTGCGGAGACGCTACCCAGTTTGCAGACGGTAACTACTCGTTTGTTGCTGGTGACTTTTGGTCTTGTAATTACTATTATGTCAACCGTTCCTGAACAGAGTTTACTCTCGCTTTGTTGATAGAAATGCCTTTAACTTCTTCGCCGCCAAGGACTGGGAAAGTTCACCATGAACGGTATTAGGAATAGAGCGCAGATGCCTGCATCGCGAGGCACATAACCTACAACGTCACTTTCAGTAGGGGCAACAAAAA